AGGGGATAAAGTCAAGAAATTGTGATATTATAGACGATAAATAAAGAAGACAGTTCTCCAAGTTTAAGGTGTGTGCGTTGTCCCAAAGTCGAGATATTTGTCGAAATGTTCCGCGCAAAATTATAGAGCCTAGTATGGAGCCGCCATGTTGGAGGACCTTCTTAGTCCTCCAATATGGCGGCCGGAAAATAGTGTAAACATCTGGAACTTACTGTGGCTATCTAGACAACTGATTAACATATCTGAACCGAACCAAAAAACATTTACACAAGCACTTTTCCTAATACTTTAACTCCTAAAATGGCTAAGAATCACGAGACAAGTGTATGTTTTTCGACAAACGCGATCTTAGCTTCATGTCACGCACCGCCATAACTCCGAAATTCAAAATGCGCTGGTTTCCAAACGAAGGATGCTATTGAACTGCAAAATTGTAAACAGATATAAATTTAGTACCTCTTATGCCTGATGACGATAAAACCTTCAGGGGCTCTTTAGTTTTGGATTTGAGAATTTGATGACGTCACATGCACACACTCTATTCACTTAAAGAACTTGTGATCCTTTGTTATTATGCATTAATTTATTCACTTTGCTCTGAGAATGGTGTCACGATGACGCCGAAACATTGGCTATTAACTAACCTTACCATTATTATTGTTTAGGTTATTACTGTACAACCGTAGTTGATTTGGTAGGGTAAAACCTCAATGCTCAACCCAGATTGGAAGAGCCTTGCCTAGCTCAGGGTGTCCAGCAGCATGTTTGTTCAAAAAAAAAATAGGAAAATAGGAAACTCATGTGGGAAAAAAATAGGGAAAACAGGAACTTTCTTACAAAACAATAGGAAAATCAATGCCACTTTGATGGACAAAGATAGTCTCCTTATAACCCATTTGTATCAGTGATACAAATGTACATACACCTGTATGACAATGCAGGAATTTTTTTAAAAAGTTATCCTTCTTAGCTCTCATTGTGTTAACAACATCAGTTTGTTCAACAATAGATTATAAATAGAAAAAAATAATTGAAGGGCAAGGGAAATCAAATGTCAAATTGACATTTGAATATTTTCTTAGAAACAAGACTAGTAATCCTACAATGATTCGAATTCCCTGGTTTTAACAGTACTTAAAGCCTTGGTCAAACGGTGCATGATAGTCGATGATAGTTGATGATAGTCGGTGAAAATTTGGGGAGAATAATTCAACTATCATCGGGTCTCATGCACCGTTTGGTCAGGCTTTTTTAGCCTGGCCAAACGGTGCATAACATTAATAACATAACTACTCCAGCTTCACCTCGTTCAAAAACTACGCTGGCTTTTCAAAATTTAAACATCAAACTAGCAAATAACAGCACACACAACAAATTCTTATTGAAGGTTACAAACAACCGTTCACTCTAATCTTCACATAAAACTATAGTTCACCCTTAATTTGACTTTAGAACGACAGTTCACCCACAATTATTTGACTTTAAGACAACAGTTCACCTTTAATATGGCTTAACAACGACAGTTTACCCTTAATTTGGCATTTTTTCTTTGAAGGAGAAGACGAAATACCATTTAATTTGGTAATAAGTGAGCAACAGTTCAGCGTAAGGACATGATTGTATGGATACCTAATGTATTTTCAGTGGGTTAATGCAGAATATTATCTTTTGACTTTAACATACTCACCTGAACTACATTTATATATATACATGGAAAATCATTGAAAAATATGGTTCAAACAGTAAATCTAAGTTATGAGCAGAAATCCAATAAGCAACAGAGAACAAAGAATTAATTACCGTCTCTAACATTTTTGTTGATTTAGAACATCAAATTCATGACACCAATTGCTTTATGCTAAATCTACATCTGAAGCACCTGAGGCTTAAATCACTTTCTAATTTTGTAACATGTGCTGCTTAATCAGCAAAAAAAAATAGGAAAAACAGGTTTCATTTACAAAATAGGAGAAAAGAGGAATCTGCTCAAAAAATAGGAAAAAAATAGGAAGAAATAGGAGCTGGACACCCTGCTCGCTAGGAAGTCCTGATTCCTAAGAGCTATTTGGGTGAGCTCTGTTTCTGTTCTATCAAACGTGATAACAGGACAATTTACCGCTAGACTGAGTTATGTGTCATTCAGGCATTTTTTTGGTTACTTGGAATGGTGATTTCAGGAGTTTTCATTAACCTATATTGTTAGACCTTTGGTCTCTAACCTTTCTTGAGACGCAGAGCGCCTGGCCCATCCTTGGAGTTTCATCAATTAGCCATCTTGTGACGTTTGCAAACATATCACACGCAGCTTCTCTTGCTTCCTTTACCTGCTCGTAAGCTGTCTGTAATTAAAGTTTCATTTTAAAAATCCGAAATATTATTTTTTCCCACAGCTTACATTATTACAGACAGTACAACTGACGTCATAAAATGAGGAACCAATTCGTAGCCTCTGATGTACGCATGTCTTTGTTCAATAAAATTTTAAAATGTTGAATAGTTAGCAATGCACATTTATTGGTGAATTGAGGAAGTATTACACCCACTTGGAAGACGGTAATTAGTACGTCATTGTGGAGGTCTCAAAATTTTCCAAAAAATGTGAGGTCATTCGCGCTTTTTCTACGTTTTTTCCACTCAGAAATTTTGCAGTATTTGAAGGCCATCTTCTTCTTCTCCGCAAAGAGCCAACGATATCGCCAATTGCTACGTTTCACAAGCTCCTAATGTAAACGAAAAGGAGTACAGAGGTCATAAGTGCAAAGGGGAAGGAACTAATGTGATAATTTACGTTATTTCCTTTCTCCTTGCACTTTTTACCTCTGTACTCCTTTTCCTTTATTTGCTTGTTTGTTTGTCTGTTTGCTTTTTCGTCCCTGTTACGGTTTAGGGTCAAAATTTGGTTTAAAGGCATCTTACCACAAATATTATACAAGCTAATCTTGGATAGTAAATTTCCACGTCAGTCTCCTCCTCAGAGTGCAGAGTGGACTCGATGACGTCACACGCATCTATCCTTTCTCCGTCAAAGAAGTCACTGAAATCCTTCTCTATGTCAGTAGGTGTGTTAAATTCTAATGTATTCTCTACTCTTCTTTGGTCGTGTTTCAATCGCTTTTCAAAAGCAGAGGCCAGCCTTGAAGAAAATAAATGTAAGTAGCATGTTATTTTTTTTAAGCACACTACTAATGAGGCTGAATAGATGGGAACCTGGCTCAAGATGAAAAAGGTATTGTGATTGGTCCTGTAGAAATTGTACAAAAGAAAACCCATTTGTTTGGTTAATTGGGTCTCTTTTTGCTTCCTTGACCGAGAACAAATGCATTAATTTATTTGCCGAGCGTCGGTTTACTAAGAGCTTTATTGTGCTAGTTTGTTTGGTTCGTTTTGCATGGAGATATTGCTCAGGTTAACTAAATGTTGCGGAACACTGTCATCTCTTACGGTTGTCCCAGGAACAGATGAGTCTTGCTACACCACAGNGTGAGGTCATTCGCGCTTTTTCCACGTTTTTTCCACTCAGAAATTTTGCAGTATTTGAAGGCCATCTTCTCCTTCTCCGCAAAGAGCCAACGATATCACCAGTTGCTACGTTTCACAGGTTCTTTATGTAAACGAAAAGGAGTACAGAGGTAATAACTGCAAAGAGAAAGGAAATAATGTAATAATTTACATTATTTCCTTTCTCTTTGCACTTTTTGCCTCTGTACTCCTTTTCGTTTATTTGCTTGTTTGTTTGTCTGTTTGCTTTTTCGTCCCTGTTACGGTTTAGGGTCAGACTTTGGTTTAAAGGCATCTCACCACAAATATTATACAAGCTAATCTTGGACAGTAAATTTCCACGTCAGTCTCCTCCTCAGAGTGCAGAATGGACTCGATCACGTCACACGCATCTATCCTTTCTCCGTCAAAGAAGTCACTGAAATCCCTCTCTATGTCAGTAGGCGTGTTAAATTCTATTGTATTCTCTACTCTTCTTTGGTCGTGTTTCAATCGCTTTTCAAAAGCAGAGGCCAGCCTTGAAGAAAATAAATGTAAGTAGCATGTTATTTTTTTTAAGCACACTACTAATGAGGCTGAATAGATGGGAACCTGGCTCAAGATGAAAAAGGTATTGTGATTGGTCCTGTAGAAATTGTACAAAAGAAAACCCATTTGTTTGGTTAATTGGGTCTCTTTTTGCTTCCTTGACCGAGAACAAATGCATTAATTTATTTGCCGAGCGTCGGTTTACTAAGAGCTTTATTGTGCTAGTTTGTTTGGTTCGTTTTGCATGGAGATATTGCTCAGGTTAACTAAATGTTGCGGAACACT